GGGGCCTAAGACCAGGGGCGGGGCTTGGAGCCAGGGGCTGCAGGGGGCAATAGGAGCCTGGGAGCACGGGTTTTGGGGGAGGGGGTGAGGGGCTTGGCCAGAAGGTTGCTGGGGGTGGAGAGGGCACAATGGAGGAGGGGAGACCCTGCCCAAGCCAGGACCAACTTCCCAGCTGTCTGCCATGCCCCCAGCTCTCTCATTCGTCTGCCCACCCCCCGTTGTAGGTGTCTCCCTGGCCGTGGAGCTGGCCCTGCTAGGTGCTGCCTGCACCAAAACAGTGTTTCTCCCCCGAGCACTCCAACCTGCTCCGGGGGCGCCAACTGCCGCTGTCTGAGCCGTCGCCCACGTGATGCACTCAGGCACTGTTTCTAAAGTAGCCTCCATAACTCCTGGGCTGGAGAGAAGCATTGTGCTGTGTAGCAGCATTAGATGTGTTTTGATTTCATGGCCACAAATCATGCAAATCTCAGATTGAACTATTCAGTCGCACGAGACATTGCAAACCATCTGCATCATAGGTTGCAGCATCCACTGTCTCTCGTAGACGAAAGGATGTCATAAACAAAGCAGACTTCATGGCTTGTTCTATCAAGTTGCTTTGAGCAGCAGTTCGCTTTCACGCAGCAGCAGGCATTGCCAGGGCAGGCAGTTTTCACCTAGATAAGGTGTCTGGGTAACCAGGCTTGTAGCTTTAAGTGAAGCACTTATCTTTTCCCCATGAGTGAGTTGAGGAGGCCGTGTGGTGTAGCCCATACAGGAGAGAGAAAAAGTACTAAGGCTGCAGATCAGGGAATATACAATGTGGTTTGGAAAGCTCACAAGCTTCTTATCTCCTCCTGGCTTCACTCTCAGCAGAAATGGATTCCCAGGAGATCGGAGAGCTGCAGCAGGAAGTGATGGAGGAGCTGGGCATCTCCATGGAAGATCTCCAGCAGTTCATTGACGAGGAGCTGGAGAAACTCGAGTGCGTGAAGCAGAGAAAGAAGCAGCTGGAAGAGCTGGAAAAGAACGTTAAGCAGAAAGAGGCAGAAGTGGCTCATGTGGACCAGCTCTTTGATGATGCCTCAAGGTGGGCAGTGGTGGCTTTGTGCCGGTGTCTGGTGGAATGGGCAGAGCAAGGACTAGGGTGTCTGGACTCAAAGGGCGTTTATACACGTGCTTAGGGGGAGGCACTTTAATTGGAGCGGCTACGAGAGTTACTCTAATTAAAGTGCCCAGAGCATCTTGTGCATCAGCATCCCTGCGCTTAAAAATGGTGGCAGGGGCTCATTCGACAAGCTTTAGATAAAGTGCCCCTGCCACCCTTTTTAAGTGGGGGGACACTGATACACGAGCTTCTGGAGGCTGCTGGAGCGCAGTAATTACCATGCTTCAGCAGACTCAGTCCAGTCTTACTCTGATGAGCTATAATTATAGCATGTCAGAGCAGTCTCACTGCTCGTGTATAGGTACCCCCAGTTCCTATTTCCTGCTCTACCACTGACTTTTTTGGCAGTATTCCTGTAGCCAGACTTTTCCAGGAGGGGTTCAAGAACCATGTGGTGCAGTTTTCAGCTGTCGGCATGCATAACTCTCAGAGTTGTATGGCTAAGATCTTTTTGCCGTGGCTTTGAATGTCCAGTTATGATTGAGGCTATGTCCTATTTCTGCTGAGTGATTTAAGGGAGCACCAGCTGCTGTGTAGCCCCAGATGCTGCTATGCAAAAATGTCTCTTCTTTTTGTGATTACTGGAGAGAGAACAGCTGCACTCACCATGGATCTGTCTCTGCTTCCTCCTTTTTTCCCACTATACCACAGAGCCATCAATAAATGTGAGGTACTGGTAAAAGATCTCTACTCCAAGCTGGGGCTTCAGTATCGTGAAAGCAGCTCTGAAGATGAGGACTCGGCTTCCAAGCCCACGGAAGTGATCGAAATTCCAGACGAGGATGATGATGATGTCATGAGTGTTGATTCAGGTTGGAAACATAGTTCTGGTTTCCCTATGGCAGTGGGGTTTGTGGGGAGGAAGATGTGAAGGAACAGTTTGATATACACTGACACCACTGTTCCTTACACCCAGGAGGCTCAGGAGGAAGGTTTTGTTGGGGCAAGTAAATAGGGTGGTGCTTGCAAAGTCAGTGCAGCCTGAACAGAATGGAAAGCTCTTATGTGTATCACTTTTACCCTGCCTCCTGCTGCTCCTGGTCTTGCTAAGCTGCCTCCAGGATCCAGTGGCCAGGGGGATGTTGAGTTATCCCAAAGGTGTGGCCTGTTGGGGAGCAGAGAGGGCAAAATGGGATAAAGCCTCACATCACCAAAAAAAAATTTTTTAAAAATCGAGGCAGAATCTGGACTATGACCTGCTGTCCTGAGGGCTCAAATTCCCTTTGAAGTCAGTAAGGAGTGCAAGCATTTGGCTTTGTGTTAAAGCTTTTTATAAGGTTTTCCTATGGCAAGGAAGTAGCTGAGTAGCCATCACCTCTGCTCAATATACTAGAACTCCTTGGAACGCCACGTTTTAACCCTGGAAGGATTCACTCATCCTCCAATCCTTCTGCATGTTAAGTGGCATGCATTAACATGACTGCATAGTTGCTTCTTGGGGAGCCCGTGCAGGGAAAGATGCAGCCTGCACTGGTCCCAAATATTCCAAAGCTTGTAGGGTCAGAACTTGATCGGGTATCTTGCCTCCCTCCTGGTTGTCCCAGGTTTGTCTTCCCAAAACAGTGTCTCACGCTTCACAAGTGATTGTATTTCCATGGAAGTGCATACCTGGACTCCAGCAACCTGCTCCAGGGATCACAAATGTCTGGTTTAATTCAATGCTTTTCTGAATAAAGCAAGAGGAAAACTTAGAATCTGCCATTCTTTACACCCTTCCATTTGGTTTGATGTCTCTGCAGGAGGTGTTCTAATATAGTTTAGATTCCCCACAGGGGGCATCTGTCCACATTTTAAATGGCTTTCTGCTTTGCTTTGCTTTGCTTTGTTTTTTAAACCCAGGTGATACAAGTAAAAACCTGAAGGATCAGACTCTGGTAAGTTGGAAAAGATTTCTGTTATAATATCACTTATTTGTATGGCAGTACCTTTTGGGGTGCTATTAATAGATGTTATGGTCAGAAGGGATGTCAGTAAGTCATTGAGTCCGCCACTCTGCCTTGGGCAGGAAAGAGCTCTGGGGTCAAATGACCCCAGCCAGGTGCTTGTCCAGTCTCCTTGAAGACCCCCAAGGTAGGGGAGAGCACCATCTCCCTTGGAAGCCCATTCCAGATTTGGGTAACCCTTACTGTGAAGAAGTTCTTCCTAATGTCCAATCTAAATCTGCTCTCTGTCAATTTGTGGCCATTGTTCCTAGTTTCTCCAGGGGGTACCCTAGTAAATAGAGCATCTCCTATTCCCTGTTGCCCTCCCCTGATGAATTTATAGGCAGCCACAAGATCACCTCTCAGCCTTCTCTTGCGAAGGCTGAAGAGCTCTAGGTCCCTCAGTCTCTCCTTGTAGGGCCTTGCCTGCAGGCCTCTGACCATACGAGTGGCCTCCTCTGAACCCTCTCAAGACATTCTACATCCCTCTTGAAGTGCGGTGCCCAAAACTGGACACAGTACTTCAACTGTGGCCTGATCAGTGCTGCATAGTGGAGAAGCATCACCTCCCTGGACCTGTTTGTCACGCATCTGCTAATGCATGATAAAGTGCGGTTAGCCTTGTTGATCACTTCGTCACATTGACAACTCATGGTCATCTTGGGGTCAACTATGACTTCAAGATCCTTTTCCGCTGCTGTGTTGCTGAGACAGTCATCCCCCAGCCTGTAAGTGTGTTGGTGGTTCTTTTTGCTCAGGTACAGCACTTTGCACTTGTCTTTATTGAACTGTACCCTATTTCGTTTTGCCCATTTTTCCAACCTGTCCAGATCCACCTGGATCCATTCCCTACTGTCTGGTGTGTTAACTTTGCCCCATAATTTGGTATCACCTGTGAACTTGGACAGGGTGCTCTCCATGCCCTTGTCCAAGTCACTGATGAAGATGCTGACTCCACTGCCCACGTCTTTCCAGACTGATATCGACTCATGTACCACCACTCTCTGGGTGTGACCCCCTAAGTCAATTTGCCACCCACCTGAATATGTAAACATCCACATCACAGCCTGTCCGTTTATTTAGGAGAACAGAATGAGATACTGCATCGAAGGCTGCCTTAAAGCCTAGGTAGATGACATCTACCTCAACTCCTGTGTCTAAGCAGTTTGTGACTTGGTCATAAAAAGAAACAAAGTTAGTTAGGCAGGAGCTACCTGCAATGAATCCATGCCGATTTTCCTTTCAGCATTATTTCCCCTGCTGGGCTCCCACAAATGTAATCCTTAATGATGTCTTCCCAAGTATAGAGGTGAGGCTAACTGGCCTATAGCTTCCCGGTTCCTCTCTCCTCCCCTTGAAAATAGGGACCACACTGGCCCTTTCCAGTCCTCTGGGACCTGACCAGAGCACCATGAGTGCTCAAACAGTCATGCCAGTGGTTCTGCTATGATGCTGGCAATTCCTTCAGTATTCTTGGATGAAGTTCATCCAGGCCCACAGATTTGAACACATCCAGCCCCTCCAAGTGTCCCTTCACTAACTGTGCTAACAGCTGGTGGGCTGGTGTCTCTCCTAGGTCTGTCTATGATCCAGTCGGGAGATTTGTCTTGGTCTGTATCTAGGAATACAGATGCAAAGAACTCATTGAAGAACTCAGCTTTGTATCCCCTCTCTGTCACCAGCTACCCTAGTTTGTCCTGTAGGGGTCCTATGCGACCCTGCCCCTTTCTTTTGCTGCCTATATACCTGAAGAAGGACTTTTTATTGTCCTTAATTTTTGTCGCCAGCCTATATTCTAATCCTGCTTTGGCCTTTCTAACTGATTCCCTGCAAGTGTGAGCCAGGGAGGTATGTATACTCCTCCTTAGTAGTTACCCCCTGTTTCCATAGCCTGTATGCCTCTTTTTTTGCCCTTAGCCTTTCCTGGACTTCCCTGTTCAGCCAAGAGGGCTTCTTGGCCCCTTTGCCCCTTTTATGTGCAACAGGATTGTCTCCTGCACCCATAGGACCACTCCCTTAAGGAACGACCACCCTTCCTGGACCCCCATTTTGCCAATGCTCTTGAGCTTTAACACCTCACTAACTAATCTCCTGAGCACACTGAAGTTAGCCTTTCTGAAGTCTAGCGCTTCAACCCTGCTGTTTAGTTTACCCACCCTTCACCAGATAGTGAATTCAGTCAATCAGTGGTCACTGTCCCCTAGGTTACCTTCTACCTACAGATTCCCCACCAGGTCATCCCCTGTAGCTAACACCAAGTCTAACAAGGCGTTTCCCCTAGTGGGATTGTATACTTCCTGCATTAAGTAGAGGTCCTGTATGCAGGTTAAGAACTTATGTGAGCGGTTAGATTTGGCTGACTGTTCCTCCCAGCATATGTCAGCATAGCTTAGGTCACCCATGACAACTATATCTCTCGACTGTACAGCCTCCGAGAGCTGTCTGAAAAATTCCAGGTCTAGCTCATCATCCTGGTGTGGCAGTCTATAGTAGACCCCCACTACCAAGTCCCTTTCTCCCCTGACTCCCTTGTATCCTGACCCACAGTATAGGCAACACTCGCCATTTGTGGGGGATACGGTCTTGTATTCCCCACAAATGGCGAAATCCGCGAATAAGGCACTGTTCATGAATGCAGTGCCCCTAGGGTGGGGCATGGCTCCAGCAGTGGCAG